CACATTTGTTTGTACAAAAACTGAAAAATAACAAAATTTTCTTCCTGTGTGCTCTTTTTCCATTTTGGATGAATCTCCCGTGCTAGACTGCTAACTGGGTTTCCATTTCCCTCTCTCTTCCTGCTCCACCACTAGCTTCTCTTTGCATTTTGAAAGTTGTCCAGAGGGATGTAGAACGGAAAGGAAAGAGGGATGGATGTATAGACAAAGGAGACAGAAAGGGAGGGGCGAGGAGACTGAAGCCTGCGAAGGATAGAGGGAAAGGGAGGCAGAGAGATAGAAGAAGGAGCACAGGCCAAGGCTCGGCGTGAGAGAAGAGGTGCTGACATGGCCCGAGTCAAGCGTGGGTGGCAACCGGGGAGACATGCTGCAACACCTCTTTTTTTTGCAACACACACAAGTGCGTTCACACACAAACTTTCGCAGAGAGCGAAGAGAGGAAAAATTGACAGACTAAAGACCAAACAAAGAGAGAGTGGAATACAGAAACACAGTGACACTCAGACAACCAAAGATGGTATGAGAGGACATGGCTGTGGTAAGTCTGGAAAGATAAGAGATAGTCTGGAGACAAGAGGTGAGTAAACGGTAAACAATGACAGACAGAGGGAGAAGTGGAGTACATAAAGTAGCTACTGTAAGTGGAAATCAGGGATGGAAAGGTTATTAAACGGAGAGTAACTGGGTCATTAACTCTGCTCTCTGGAGTCAAGGAGGGAAACACCCTGTAAGGTAGTATACACACTGCAGAAAGTCCCGGTTGCTCCCACATCATTATTATTTCACTTCTTTTTGTTTGTTTTTTGTAAAAGGAAAGAAAATGTTGAAGGCATATCTGCTTTATTATACTGATGACAGCAGACTGGCAAGAAGAAAAGAAAAAACATTGTTGGGTGATTTTATGTGGTTTGAAGCCACAAGACCACAAGTAAGGTTGCTTCTGTTTTAGCCTGAGACACAGATCATTTGGTAGATTAAACACTGTGATATAAATGATTATGAAGATTGAAGCTGTCCTCCAGTACAATTCTACAAATTAACTATAAGCAGGGTTTGAGTATGTAGTTCACACTGGAAGATAATGATTAAATACACTCAGAAAAGTCAGTTCGCATACTTAAAAATGCTTGAAATTTGAGTGCACGGTTCAAGCACACTGTGCAATCAACCCTATCTCCTTGAAATGACATACATATTTGCCAAATATATATTAAGGAAAACGTAATGGCTGCCTGGATTATGTTCAATAGGAAGTGGCATGTTTTATCAAGGGGTGGAGGTGATGAAGATGTGAGGAGGTTGTTGAGGTTGGGGGTGGTGAACACACAGAGCAGGGCTTAAACACAGGAGATCGGGTTTAGCGTCCTGAGTCCAGCACGTGGTTAGGTTTAGGCAACACACTCTCTTAAATAAACGTCAATAACTAAGTAAACAGTCTTTATTTATTTCAGTATTTAACCAAGACCATGATCTTTCCCTAACCCTTAACCAAGAGCTCTCAGTGCCACAACATAACCATAAAAAACGTTAATCGTGGAAAAAGAGGAGCTGCTCACAGCTGCAAAACATCAAAACAATTTGCAGATGGTGGTGATATAGCTCTAAGAAGACTTTGGAAAAGAAACAATAAGTATTAAATCTTTGCAATAACACTTTGCTCCCTCTATATTAAGCTTAATTGGCAGTGGCATTCCAAAGTCATGGTGTCCTTTTTCTACTGCGGTCTTTTAGTAGGAAAGAGAAAAGTAGAGTATAGTACATTCTGTTAGTATGCAGTATGGCATTTGGACACGCCATCATATTTTTCTTTGCTCATGATGACACCCATTATTCCTCTTATATTCATTTTAGATAAACCTTAACATCTGACGATTATATGAGAAAATATAACAGCTTTTAAGAGACTTTTTTTTGTACAAAAAAAGGTCACAGATAACTTCTGTAAGTAACTATAACTAAGACTTTTACACACAGCAGCAGCATGTTTTACAGTGTGGCACCAGTGCGGCCAGCCTACGTGCGCTACATGCAGCAGGGGAGCGTTTAGGAGTCAGCTGACCTCTCATTACATCTTGGTTAATGGAGCTGTTTGTTGGGCCTGCTCTCTGCTTCAGAAGCACCACACTGTTTACTGTCTGGATACTCCACAAACAAACACACTAGCCCAGCCTCGCACACACACACACACACACACACACACACACACACACACACACACACACACACACACACACAATCATCCGTATGGAAAGAGCTATTACCTCTGTACTCAATCACTCACCCACACACAGGGATGAACCACAAAAATACACAGAACTAAACAATACACACGCCACTGTTGTCAGATGAAAAGCTAGTGATTAAACTTTTTTCCAAAATACCAGATTTTGGGAACCTCAGAAAAAACATCTTTGTTTGTTTGACAAATTGGGCCAAGTCATGGAGAACCATGCAATCCCGCAATTTAAGTTCAAACAGAAAAGTTACCAAAGTTTAAGAAGGGGCGGTTTTCATCGTGAGAATGACAGAATGAGCGTGCACATGTGCAAAAGTGCATGTTTGTCTGCAGGATATTCGTGGCATTTTTAGCCTTGTGTTGCAGACTAAAGTACAGTAGGTTGTTTAAAGAGTGGGTGCATGTTTACAGGATCCTGGAAACAACAAGTGGAGTTTGTACTGAAAGGAATACTCAGCAGATTGAACGTTTGGAGAACGTCAAATTTACAGCAGGTGTGTCTCAGAAATGAAAACCATGTGGTCGTCTGCTGGCGCTGAGGGAAAACTGCAATTTCATCATACAAACAAACAAACACGCACACACACACACACACATGCTGCTCTGTCTGTGTGTGTTAGTCATGACAGCAGAGCAGAGGAAATCAAGTCAGCACATCAAACAGTCAGCTTGACCTCACACCCGGCAGACACACAGGAGATGTTCTTCTCTGCCCCAGGCCCCCTAGAAATTAATGAAATAGCTGCTTGACACAGATATGAGGGTGGTTGAATCTGTCAGCATGCAGTCGCTGCATGAGCTGACTTTGGCCCCAGCGTCTCTGCTAGAGAGAAAGGGATGAAAGAAAGAGAGAAGAATGTAAGAGAGACAGGGGAGAGAGGAAGAATTATGCAGGCATTTGTGTAGTGCGACTTTTTGGTCTGTATTCAGCAGTAAAAAAAAAAACGCTTTCGCAGAAAAAAAAAAAAAAATCAATTTTAAATTGATGATGGCACGTGAAGTTTTCAGTGCTGCCATGAATGTCTGTACCAAATATCCTGGCAATCTGTCTAACAACTGTAGAAATATTTAACTCTCAAGCAAGGTGGTGGACTGACTGACTGACTGACTGACTGACCGGCAGTGCCATCCAAAGAGCATTTATTAGAGCAATATTTTTCACATTAAAAGGGATCTCATTTGAACCCTTTTCCTTTTGTTGCATGGAGAAGATAAAGATAAAAAACTTTGGTTTCTTGTATTATCTAATGTTTCAGTTAAGTACCATAACCCTGGAAAAGCTCTTAAGGAAACAAGGATAAGGAATATGTCTTCACTTCTGCTCTTGTGAGGATATTTAGTCTGTGTAAATATAGAAAAACAACACACACACACACACACACACACACACAAATACTTACACCCACCTTCACCCAGTCAAAACCTCACACTCTCCCCTCTGTGTAATCCCATCTGATCTTGCCGACACTGTTGTTAGAAGCCTCCTCTCACTCCGCAGCCTATCCCAGCGCTGCCTTTGAACTCGGCTGCCAAGAAAGTGTAACACCGCGTGCCTTTTTCTTTGACTTTCAGGAATGATCAGGAACATTATAATGATAAAATTGGCGGGGGGGGGGGGGGGGGGGGCTGAGTAGGAGCAGAGGGCCCTGACAAAAAGCAAGCAAGAGGCTCGAATATTGTCAACGTGTTGTTAATAAACTGCAGGAGAGAGCTGAGGTGTGTGAGTGTTTGAATTCCTCTGTGTGTATGTGTGTGCAAATTTTTGCATGTGCAGGTTTGTGTATATGTGTGAGCACAAATATGAATTCTTCTGTTAGGACGTGATGTCAGGGTACATTACAGCTTATTGCTGGGTTGAGTGACGCGCAGGATTATCGGCTGATGGGAGAAATAAAAAAAAAAAAACAGCTTTCATCAGTGTGGTGCTGCGGCCCACATGTTTGATGTTAGACTGAAGGAATCATATACAAGGTGAAGGAAAGGAAGAGAGGGGTGGAGGGCGGGCGGGAGGTTGAGTGCCCACAATATGGAGTCATTACAGAGCAACAAGTGACTCCAGTAGATGAAGAGTGAACTTGCATGTGAACAGTCCCTTATTTTACAGATCCTCCACAATCCTCATTCTTTCTCCTGTCACTGCCACAATCTATAAGTATCCCCACTCCTTGGGGGGAAAAATACCCTCTCAGTCTTCAGCATTTCCAGTGTTGAAGATCATACGTCCAAAGAAATAGAAACAGAGACTATTTGGAGTCTATCTGGGGTTCCATCACGCCTCGTGAGTATGTAAAGTATGTTGTGAGCATGAAAGTGTTAAGAGATGTATGTTTTTTTGTATGAGGATGATGAAAACAGAAAGATAAATATGTTAAGCCACCACCAATGAACCAAATTCCACTAAAAACCACATAAGTCAACCACATGGTGGCGATAGAGGAAAAGTCAAAGGATCACCAAAAGTCATTGGGATTCATCCCGTGGGAATCGTGAACGTCTGAATAAAATTTCATGGCTTGGTTGTTGCGATATCTCAGTTTAGACTATTGCCGTCCCCAGAGCCACACCTCTACCTAAAAAGACTGCAGGGAAGATTAAGTTGCTCATTTTCACATAAAAAATATTTTTCTATGAAACGCAATCCGGATTGTAACTGCTCAAAAAGACAAAGCCTGAGCCCAGCAAAAACTTGTTTCAGCTCGCTCGTGCTTCTCTTACATCCGTCATGACCTTTGTCTCGTTGTGTCTTTGCTTTGTCTACTGTCAGGTCACTTCCTGGGGAACCACAGTGTGCTGGACATCCTCAGGCAGGAGGGCTACGAGATCGAACACTTGCCCTCTGATCACCAAGAGCCAGCCACAGAGTGAGTAAGCAGGGAAGAGGGTACTGTGACAGATGACGGAGCGTGTCATTCGATCAGAGTTCTGTGGTTACGTAGAAACAAACAAAAATCCGTTATTGAAAAAGAGCAAAAGTTACTCTTCAAAAAGTTGTTCAAAAGAGTTGACAATGTATATTATTTTAATTTGGGGGATGAATAATTGCAGTGTAATTAAATCATCATCGAGCGCTGGATGATTCCAGTTTTGTGCAGGTAATCAGTCACAGGTTACACTTTGAAACCAAACCATGAGAGTCTTCTAACCTGACAAGATAATGAATGGAAAAAGACAAGGAGGGTGTGATTATGTACTAGCATCAGACTGATAATGTTATGGTAATACGGACTGTGACAGATTCTGTCCAAAATGTGCTCTGTTCCAAACAAAGCTAAGCTATGCAGGAATCCTTTGATAGCTCATCAACTCCCTCACCTTCCTCCTTTGCTCCCTCCCTCCCTACCTCCCTACCCGCCTGCCAAGGGGCAAGCTGTCAGTGGTGGTTCTGTCTGTTCTCAGCAGCCACTGGTACCACAGTCAACACAAACACAAACACACACTTATTTGTGTATGCACGGTGAGTGGAGTGATGCACAATGCCAAGGAGCAGGGCTGCAGGGTTGCACACACGCAAACTCGCACACCTCACACAGAGGTTTGGCTTCCATCCTGCAGCATTTCTTCACAAAAACCTTCTACAATCCCTCTTTATATCACGCTGTGTGTACGTGTGTGTGTGTGTGTGTGTGTAGCCTTTGGCACAGAGCGGCTCCCCTCTCACCTAGGGGGTTGATCCATGGGCCCATAAAATAGTAACAACAGCCACTTGAATCAGGGTGAAAATGGAAAAACAAGGCACAACAAGGGGAATCTCTTTAAAAACCGTAAAAACATCCCCAGCCCTCCATCCAGCCGAGGCTTTTACAAACTTCTCGCTGCAAATTACAGCTGTAAACGTAGCCTCCCTATCTCCCTCCGCCCTGTGTGCAGAGCTGTGGGCTTCAGCCAGTGGTTCTGGTTTTAAAAGCTGACAAGTGGACTGACATACTGCGGTCACAAAACACTCGTGTATGCCGCACACACACACACACACACACACACACACTACCACACGACCACACACTTAAACGTGTGCATGCACGCAGACACTTTTAGCCCCCTGATACAAGGTGATGTGACAGGCGAGGAAAAACACCACAAGATTGCTTTGCATGAGAGGTGTTTATGAAAGCTTTTAGCCTCAGACCTGGAGGGTTTGGACCCGACTGGCAAAAGGTCTTAAAGAGTGATTATATGACTGACTGACGGAGCAGACTACAGCTGGGTTTGGCTCCACAGTAGCTTGACCACAGGCCTGGAGCTATCATCACCCTAACCAAGCCATCAAGACCTGGATGGGGGTTTCTGAGGCCTGCAGCAGAAGTGCAGACCATCAAATTTATGATGACTGTAAAGACAAAGCTAATTATGATTAAGCTGTGGAAATGATGACTAAAACAATCCATCATATGCTTTGTAATTTGAAAATTTGACATCATGTTACTGTACTTTTTTTTTACGTTCTAGTGCTTGTTTCGGTGTACATGGTGTGTGTAGTCGGTTCTTTGTGTTGTTCCACCTTGAACACAAAGTCAAGAGCAGAGAAAGTATGAGTAACGGGTGGAAGAAAGAGGAGCGTGGCAAAAGTTTTCAAGGAGAGAGCAGTGATTCTGGGTGGTCTGCTGTGGACAGATGTCAGTTTTGACGCAGCTGTACGGTCACAAGAGTTACAACTTCCTATAATGTTGCCTGCTGGGTATTTCTGCCACTCAGTGCAGTGTTTATAGAGCAAGGCATCCTATGTGGTGTTCGTGTCTTTGATTGAGTTTAGGGGTTGTAAGTGGAAAGAAATACAGTGGTCAGAAACCACAAACAATAATATTAACTGGCTGCAAGTTTGAAGGAAAAGTGAAACAGGCCCTGAGACACAAGAATCCTTATTTTTCATCTATAGGTCATAGGTTTCAGTGATACCTTTAAACACAACTAGGATTTATATGGTCAAAAAAAAATCACAAGTGGGGCTTTTAATGAGTATAAACTGACTTCATATCCTTTCCATCCCGTCTTCTGCCTCCTCCAGGAATAAAGCAGCTGAAGAGCCTGCAGCAGGGTCCAGCGAGGAGAGCACAGACACTAGCACGGCATCTCCCACCAGCTGGCAGACCAGTCCATCAGAGACGGAGCTGGAGGAGGAGGACCCAGAAAACATCCCTGGACTCGGAGATGATGAGCTGCCGCACATTCTGCTCCCCGACAGCCTGAGCCAGCTGGAGGAGTTTGGGCGACACAAAAGGCCTCGCAAAGCTCACCGCGGCCACGGGAGACCTCGCCTCTTCAGTGACCTGTGGGTTCGCATCGGGGATGGGTGAGATATCTATTACGACCAGCTGATTTTCAGCTCTATGAAGTTACTTAAGATATTGCTATTTGTCAGAGGAAGGGAAAGACCATTACACCTACAATATGTGAGAGCACCTGTATAAAAAGTGACAAACATATGTTTGGCAACTCTTTTTGGCACATAATTCAGTTCATAAGGTCATAATAAGTCATCATGGACCATTTCAGAAGGATCCTTTACAGAAACCACTCTATCAGTTTTTCATGTAGCGTAACTACAGTAAACTGAAGTTGCACTGCTAAACATGTTTTGACAATAACACTTCTACAGTCATACCAATGACTTCCTTGTCAGAGGTCAAAATGCGTGAAAAATGCCAATTACAAATTCCAATGGCCCAAGGTGGCGTCTTCAAATTTCCTGTTTTCCTGCATCAGTCCATTTCAATGTGTTGAAAGCTAAACACTGATTTTTTTTTTTTTTTTTTTGTGTCCTTTCTCCAGCACTACCCCACCACCGAATGTGAGGATAATCAACGGCTATGTGACTGTGGAGCCTCCGCTGACCCATCAAGAGCAGCGCAGACTCATCGAGATCCAGGCCACTGAGCGGCACCCCGGTCCACCTTCCCCCACTTCGCCTACTCCCAGCTCAGCTCAGCCAGCCTCAGTCCACAGCACTCTCACACTGTCCTGTCTTTTAGCCTGGATGTTATCACACATGCTGCTTACCTCCTGACCACAAGACAGCGTTATCTCACAGACAAACACTCAGACACTACTGCGTCCATACCAGAGCAGTGGAATATACCTGATAAACAAGGAATGACCATCAGCACATGCAGACGAGAGATGGAGGAATGTTTTAGTCAGGACATGACATCCTGAGGTGGGACAATCCTGCTGTGAGCCTCCACCACAGGGAGGGCTCAGCTCCAGCCTGCCCAAATGCCAAGTCTCAAAACATGTGGAATAAGCTCTCAGCCACGACACAAGCAGTGAACGGATGGTGTTGGACTGTACAGGGTGGAGTCTTCAAACCTCATGAAAGTATTAAGATAGAATAACACATAGCACAATGAAGACTTGTAACTTTGAAGAGTTTGTGTGGTGGAGTCTTCTACTTAATAAAAACTGTAATACTGTATAGATAAATAAGACTGACATTAATATTGAAAATAGAACATACTAATAACAGCTATAACTCTGTGATAAATGAGTTGAATGCATACAGTCAAACAGTACTGTGTAGGAGGTGGAGCACTCAGTTGCCACTTTTGTAAATTGTGCATTTTGTTCATAAAGAAATATTGTATATTTATTATTTCTGGAAGAAAAGAGTATATTTTCTTGCTTTTTGAGGAAAAATGAAAAAATAAACTTTGAAAACTAATGAAGTGTTCAAGACTTCTTTCTTTCCGGTGGAGAGATCACGGGTTGAAGTTTATGACCAAGTCCTGGAAGCAAAATAGAATAAATCAATAGGAGCCTCATAAAGGGAACCAGCAGTGTTGAAAGGCAGATTCCCCCTGTCTGTGTGCTCCCTATGTACATTCCTATTATTTGTAAAAAATCAAACACATTTCAATGTAAGTGTAAGTAAGTGGAATCCGTTTAATTAATTAATTATGTGTTTTTTGACAGAGCAGTGCGCATTCATGAACCCAAGGGAAAATGTGCTGATGTTTAGAGATGTGAGACATTTCAAGTTGGCAGATTATAAAATGTATTTATATTATATAAAAGTGTAATGCTTTTATCAACTGTAAACAAGACTAGGTCAAAACTTAGTATGGTTAGTAAAAGGCTGGACCGCATATCAATATGCAAAATTGAGGATGTAGTTGAAAACTGTTGCACTGCTGTAAACAACTGACATCATTCTGTCATATTTGCATTCTACCTATAGTGTCAGCTGGTTTCAGCTCTTCATCTGTTTGCCTCTCTCCTATTCTCTGCGCTCACATATACAGTATTTTAATACAGCCGAATTCCCAACGAAGCTGTTCTCATTTATGTGTCTTTCTGTTCATGTTGTCAGACAACGGAACAAGTTTGAAATACTGACTGAAACACGGCCCATTAAGACTACATGTAACACGCCAAGCCATTTCCAAGCTGCTGCTGCTCTGCACTGCTAAAATCCTGATTTTTAACCACGACATCGTCTGACAAAATCACCAAACACTTTGTGCCAGTTCATTTTGAAGCAATGGTCAATAGGGAAACTCCAACTCAGTCATGTGGCATTCGGCTGACCGGTGGTGGAACAATGTTTACTCATTCAGTCAGCGACATGGCCCCCGCTGTTGCACTCCAGCCAAAATGTGAGATAAACAACTCTTATAGTAAATACCCATTAATGATCTACTGCAAACATAACTTGCAAGGTAACAGCATTTAAGGTGAACAGAAGTGCAGAAGGGGAACAGCTGAGCAACAGGTAATGTCAATCTGCCATCTGCTGGCTGAAACTAAAATTAAAAATAAAAAAAAAAACAGGGAAACTGACCCCACTCACCCTGTCACCAGTATGCATTTGATGGCTGCAAGATTGTGAGTAACTCAACAAATGTTAATCAGGGTAATGCACGAAACAATTCAAATCATCAGACTTCAGAAAAAGTGTGAAGAAAAAGCACAAATAAAGATGGATTGATGGAAAACGTGTACAGAAAGTTGAGGAGGTCATGATGATCTCATTATCTATGTAGTTAGAAGAAAATGCTGATTAGTTAGAGGACAATACTCTGCATGACTTCATGCTGTATCTGGTCTTTCACAATGCTTTTTGAAATTATTTTTGCTGCATTATGCTAAGCATGATGGAACTAAAATTTAGAGTTTACTTTCTAATAAGCTCCACAAAGATGTAAAGAGCACAAGTACAATATTTTCCCTTTCGGTTGAAAGCAAGTCACTCATTACTTAAAAACTAAATCGATGAAGATCACAGAAACAAGACAGAAACTTCTCAAAGGAAGCGTTACCAACAAATTAATTAACTGTAAGCACATATCAAAGGCTCAGTCTGTAACTATTCACCGAATGAAAATCAAAACCAAGTTGAACAACACACTGAAAGTAAACATGGATAATGGTCTCTGATTGTAATTTTTAAATTGACATAAATTATACAGTGATGTAACTTGAAATGAATTTGAATTTCCCCAGACTCATTGCCAACAATAGTGAGAAACATATTTTGAACTACACAGTCTCCAGGTTGTAGAATCAGCTCAGGGGTAGAGCAGCAAGTCGCAGCTTACGATTTGGCAGGAAAGGAAAGATGAATGCTCTCCAGTCTTTTAACAGGTATCATCGAGCTGCTGTTGTGCAAGACACTTAACCCCTGAGTTGCTCCAGCTGAATTACTTAACGGCCAAAAGCAAAATATTCTGGTTGTATAGCATAAATCAGTCTGTTTGAATATAAATTATTATCTACAATTAGAGTGTCCCTGTCATCTACCATACAAAAAAAATGTAGGTTCTCCTGTGTTATTCTAAGACACACTGGTCCTCCGTGGCTGCATGCACCGCTGTAGTTAATACTTCTGCCACTAAATGGTGCTAGAGTCACATGATAATTTCAGCACCAACACAAGCTGCACAAAGCACTGCTTTTGAAATACTGTTTAAAGGCCCCATGACTGGAGCCTGAGGACATGCACAGAGACAGGTACGCATGCTTTTTTTTGGATATTATATTTGTATTTAGATTGTCTATATAAAGATGTTTCAACCAAAACAAAAATCATAATAAAAACTTCAAGTGATAATTCATCCTATAAATGTTTAATCGAGCATTTTAAGCCAGTAAAACTGGACCTATGGTTCTGATTCAAGCTTAGAAGTTCACGCATTTTAGTGATAATAATGACAAAAAAATATAGACAAAAGTATATTTACAAATATAACATAGATGTTATTAATTTACACATAAAAAGAAATTTCTCTTAAACTGACCACATTTCTGATTTTGTGATGTTCACATGACATCCTAATCAGGTTATCTATGTAGCAAACAAAAAAAGGATTGAGTATTATTTTGCATTTATAAGAAAATTTAAGTTATGTTTAACATTATATATTTTATGCCAATTCAGTTCACATTTCTGAACACCTTCTTTTTTTTAATCTAATGTCCCATTACGTAATAACTCATAATAAAATGTAAATAATGCTATGGCTTGTTTAGTCACTTTTAGGATTACGATTCTGTTTACCTAAATCATTCAAATGTATCAATCATTTTTTTTAATCAATTCATTTTAAACACTGTAAGTTAAGAGTTAAGGTTAAATAAAAAATGAATTTTATTGAATGCAGTTTGTGGCTGTGAGATATAATATTGCACAAAATAATAAAATCATTAAAGATCGGAATCAATAATTTAAAAGAGAAGAGCAAATAAATTGAACCAAACCCACAGATAAAACACTTTTCACAGAATGAACTAATTTATTGATGTGACAGTTTTAATCACGACAAGTGAAGTGAAATAAGGCAAATGTGAAGGTTAACTCTAACGGGCGCCTGTATAGTACAGTATGTTTAATTTCAATATAGCTTTAAAGTGGCAATGCTAAGATGCCTAAACCTCTTGATGTGTTTTAATTAAATGCTTCTAATCAATACTAATTTCACAGTATAAATAATTATGGAGCAAATTTTAACTATACACTTATCTTTCAGGAGAGCCTTCCCCTCTTAAACGGTGAAGAGCAAGTTTTTTAGAACAAACAGCTTTTTCGCCCCTTAAGCCAAGACAGGACAATATTTGCCTTAGCTAGAATACCATTTTCCCTGGGCTTTGGGGTGTTGTTTGAGGGAGTGGGGGCCTTGACAGGGCGCTCTGAGGGCTGACCCTCCCTTTGCCGGGGACACGCCGCCAGCCGCATATAAATAAAAGATTACAGTGGAAAATCAATTTCTGAGCAAACTCATTAAAAATGCCCCTCACCTTAAATGATTCCCATTTCCTTCCATTCAACCTGTTAACGGCTAGCTGTCCCTGAGACCGACCACCCTACCCCCACATCCCCACCACCGCCACCTCATCCTACCCTTCCCTCCCACCTCTTTTCCCTCCATCCTTCCTTTGCCCTGTTGCTCTCCCCTGGTGGTAATTACTTGCACAAGTCGTTTTTTGCCCTTTGATTTGCACCGTTTCACAAATGAAGGTTAAGTTTGTTTAACCGTGGTGGATTTGCCAGTCATGTTAAAGCATATAATGTGGCAGGTCCTTGGTTTCTCCATACACCTCCGGCACCCCCCTGGTAGGCCCCCACCCCCTGCATCTCCTTCCCTGTTGGCCTGGGCGCCTTGGGGAGAGTGAGAGATGGGGGGGGGGGTGGACTCCAAGGTTAAGGCTTACCGGGCCTGAGGAAGCCTGCAGTGGATCAGGCTTCAGACCCATTGACTTGACTGAAAGGAGACCAGGAAGTTGTAAAAATAACCTCTGGTAAAAGGATTAAGAATCAAACTGCTGTGTTTGCCCTGAGAGGACGTGGGGTGATCTCCACAAGACGCTAAAAAAAGATGGGGAGGAAGAAACAGGAGCAAGATAAGAGATTATTCATTAAGATTTCTCCAAGGTCTTGGACCTTGAAGCTACCTCTATTGACATAAATATTCTCCTCTGCAGTGTATACGACACACTTGGCGATGTGAATTGCTGACAAAAAAAAAAAAGAAACGCACATTGCCACAAAGACACACAAGTGATGCAGTGTTTTCACATTTCAGCCTCATCTTTGATCAATACCTCACAGAGAGTGAAAGTCACCGAAGCCAAGGTGAACATCGATCTCAGGCAGCTGGAGCTGTTAAGAGCATTTCAAGTGTGTGTTGCTTTGATTATTGAGCTGCAGCTCGCACACTGATCACAGTGATAGTGCACACAGGAGTTTGATGACAAAAGATGACTCGATGAAAGATGACTTTCACATTAACAGCAACGCATTGTTGTCCCTCGGTTCATCAGATCTATTGTAGCATCACATGTGCGCCCTAAATGCCACCTAAGGAGCAGTGGTTTTGTCTGGTTGTTGCTGAAGGATGTTTACAAAATGTCTTTTTTTTTTTTTTTTTTTTAAACCGGATCTGTAATTATGTGTTGCAGGGTATGTCAGTCTACTATAACCATGTCCTGTGTGGTGAATGTTATCCCATATTTCACAGAGAGCTTTGATTGTCTGTCTAGCTGAGGGCAGCCATAAAGCTCTTTGGGAAAACAAAAGTGTGTTTAGCCCCGGGGCAGATAGCTCCTCTCCCTTTAGATAATCCTGCTGATAGTGGAGGCAGAGCAGTGCTGTTTGGTGAGCTCTGCTAACTCGCAGCTCCTCCGTGTTTGT